TATAATATTGACTATGAAAATATTTAAATTCTTACCTAGAAAGTTATGAATGTATCAACATAAATAAACATCAATATAAATTTTTGAAATTGTTGCTTTTGTGTATATTATGTGGGTTATGTGTTTATTGTACAGGCAGTCCCAAATTCGCTGTCCGTATAGCCTATCTCCGAAACTAAAACAGATAGAAAAAAAGTAGCTTACTTGTCATCATCTCGTTTTCCGACAAACTGGTAATGCCGAAAGATCGGAACAGCTCAAATAAGTGAGATATTGGCGTTTATCGTTTTCGAAAACAAAAGACGATAGCTGTTCAGAGTTTTCTGCATTAGAAGTTTCTTGAAAAACGAGATCATGACATGTAAGCTACTTTTCTTCTATCTCTTTTAGTGTTGGAGATAGCCTATGCGGAAAACGAATTTGGAACACCCTGTACAGTAATAAAATGCGGTCATTTGGTTTAAAAGCGATACTGATTCAATTTAAACTTTAATATTGGTCATTTTTAACAGTTTTAGTGAGTAATTTGTTATGATTGTTTTATTAATCTCTATACAGGGTGAGCAAATTTGCGTGTTATTATGGGCTATCTCAGAAACTATAAGAGATACGAAAAAAGTAAGTGCCATGGCCCTGTCTCTCTTTCCAAGACTAATCCAACACCGCAAACACCAATCATCTATCTTCTTTTGTTTTTAAGTTATAGCCAAAAAGTCAAATTTCCGTGATTTCAAAAAATGTTCATATTTCGTTTATTTTTGAAATTAGAGAAATGAGATTGATACGTTCTTAAGACACTTTTTTGCGGCTTTTGGGTCAGACGTCTTGTTCAACTTCACTGCAATATGTTCATGGTTTTATCGCAACTGAACTCTACACATTGACTTCATCCTTCTGAAAGTCATTTTGGTATGTTTTTGCTCGTGGTTTTGTGAAGGACCAAAAATCCATTAAATTTTTCTGATAACCGAGTAAAGGTTCTTGCGTGCGGTTATCTTCTTTCCGGCTACCTTGTGAAATATAATTCTGCGGCTAACATCGCAATCTTATTTGATAACATGGCATTCCATCAGGTTACATTTTTCATAATTTTCGAAATTCATTGTAAAGTTTTATTCAGTTTTGTTATATGCTATGGTGATAACCAT